GTTACGTTACACCTAATTTTGAAATCTGATTCGTAGTACAGGAGAGCTGCGCCACCAACCTTGTACACATTTTCGGTATGCAGTATTGCACACTTAGATAATTACTTAACGGATATATCGCATTTCGATAATAAAAAATCATCGTAAATAAATGCCACATTGATTGATTTGTTTGATGAAAAAATAATCAGTTGAAGAGTAAAGTAATCGTCCAGCAGTCATGTTGATAATCAACTGTGTTCTTTTTTTAGGTTTTCCGTTCCTTGTTTTGCGCCATAACCTCTATTTGATAAACGGTTTGATTTTTTTTAAAGCTTTGATCAAGATTATCCTAGCAACCACTTAATTAAATTTAATAAAATTTTTTTTATTTAAACTCAAAAAATTGTAAATTTTAGATAAAAAAACTTTTATTAATTTGTGATTTTAAAGGGATATTATTATTAATAAATTAGTAAAAAAACTCTATTATTGTGTTTATATAGAAGTATTTTCAAAATATTAATAAATTTATTGTATAGTAGTTAAATGTAATATTCCTCCGTTTATAATGTCCTCTTTTTAATATAAGCCGTTATTCACCAAAAAGAATCAGTATTAATCAAATCATATTTATCTATCAACGTTTTTCTTTCCGTAATGATAGCTTGTGTAAAACTACTAGTTACCCTAGCGCAACCTTCTGGTCCCCTTAAAAGAAATATTTTGCGTTTATGCAAATTAACTTATCAAGTATTCCTTGTATACCAGGCCCTTTAAATTCTTTCGCATACTTTGGATCTTTTCTAATTTGTGATAACCCGTCCATTGAAATCCATGTATTGAATTTTATATGATCGGAACTATTTACAAAACTATTATTTAATCCAAGTATTTTAATGGCTTCTTTATGAAAATTTGAAAGTTTACGAAATGAATCTGATTGAGCTCTACCGCTATTAAGTGGAAAATCAGCTGCTAGATATACATTTTTTATTCCGTATTGATTTTGAATTTTTTTCACCGTCTTAATTAAGTTCTTGGCACATTTTGGAAATAACGATGGCTGTGCCCTCTCCATTCTCCAATGAATAGCTATATATGGCTTTAATTTATTTATAATTTTCTTAGATTCTTTAATAATATATGGTGAATACGGGATTACTTTATCGATACTTGGAAAAGTTTCCATAGGCAACGTGTTTAATATCATCATTACTTCATATTCTTCTGTCATAGGGGGAGCTTTTAGAGTATCTGTAACTAATTTGAACATTACTTCTTTGCCTAATTCATCTAAAGTTGTGATGTTTAGTTTAAATTGGTCAATGCAATAGGATTTTTCAAGTTTAACGCCATCTTCAACTCCCATAATTTTTTTTTCACGATTAGTTATATTTACACGATCGTTGATCATCCTCGAATGTTGTGCAATTGGTCGGATTTTTCTTTCTTTTGTCCAGTTAAGAAATTTTTCTTGTGTTATAAAACGAATATCTGGATACTGTTTTTTAAATGCTTTCATATTATAATAGAAATCAAACTGATATAGAGAACATGCTCTGACATGGGATTTTCCAACGTTTGCTAGGACAAATGTACGGTTTAGAGATCGTGCTAATTGCGTGTAAGCGCGAGTATGAAGATTGGCGCGAGTCTCTTGTTCTGGTTGTTGATACGGAAATAAGAATCTACATATTTTCTCTTGACAATATTTTATATTAATCTTTTCATCTTCTGTTAGTGGCGTTTCAAGCGATGTATCCTCCTCAATATATTTTATATTAATCTTTTCATCTTCTGTTAGTGGCGTTTCAAGCGATGTATCTTCCTCAATATATTTATTAGTATCATGTATTTCCTATATTTAAAACCATTAATTTTTTAATGTATTATGGATTTGGTAGATTTCGCCGACGATATCACCGATACACATTTCACTGACAGTCAGTTTGCCAATAACCCATTTTCCAGATCCCCAACAACTCACTTCCTCGATTTCACTTCTTCAACAGTCTATTTCTCAGACAGTTCATTTTGCCGACAATCCTATTTTGCTGGCTTTTATCTTACTATCTATCTCTAGCCAACCCTAATAATAAGGTGGCCAACCCTAATATAAATCGTGCCAAATTTGTCGGAGAAGTGAAGTTGGGAAGTGAGCTGTTGGCAATTGACTGTCGAAAAAGTGAGTCGTCGAAAAAATGGGTTATCGACAAAATAGCTGTCGGTGAAATGGCTGCTGACAAAATAGCTGCCAGTGAAATTGGTTTATACCGTATTATCCTTTAAAATATTTTGAGATGTTTACCTCAACTGATTCTGTGGACTCTGGTGCTCTTAACTTTAAGGAAATACTGACAAAACTCCATAATAAGAAAATTAATATAATTTTATATATGTTTTTTTTTATAAATTCAAATATCGTATTTTGTAAAGTGTTGAATTTTGATAACATCTTATTTAGACATTTAATACTCTGTTATATGCTATTTTCTGTTTAATATCAAAGAAAAATTTAAACGGGATGAATTATTATTATTATGTAGATATATTTTTATGATAATTTATTGCTATACTCATAAACGTTCTTATCAAATTTAGCTCATAAAAAAAGTCTGATTATATAAGTTACTGTAAGGCTAATCCGGTAATAATAAATGATAAAATCAAAGCCTGAAATCTCATCTTCACTTGGCAGCACTCAAATGGCAATATCGAAAACGATCAATAGTTGACATACACTCATTTCCTCGAAAACTATTTCCCAAAAAAGCAATCTCCGACAAACAATTTATTCGAAGTCACAGTGGATGACAATTTAGCATTTTATTATCTGTAGAGGAAATGAGACAAAACCCTATAGGGTATTTAATGTATTATTGTTATCTGTGCTGAATAGAGATTTCTATGGTAAAAATGCATCCAATTTGAAAAAAGTATATTAGTGTTCATGAGGGTACCCACCGCCGATATTTAGCTGACATCACGCAAGGTGAAATTTAGTAAAAATATATACCTGCAACTAATCAAATGTTTAACTAACCCTATGTGATGTCGGCTAAATGAGTTGATCGCCCGATTTGAAAATCACGCTTTTTATCCAATCAGTGTCGTCACATCGAATTTACACGAGCTATCAGTGTATAACGTTAAAATGGACGTATTTTTTAAGAAATCGACTTTATCTTGAAATTTCGCTTATGAAACTATTTTCTGCGTTTTAGCAAAAAAAAATTCCTTGCGAAGTTTTCCCATTTTGGGCGGTGGTACGTAGATGTGCGTGCACTTATTTGTGCGAGTGATACAAATCCAAAAAGGGAAATTAGCCAATCGGAGAACTTAAAATGTGATTATCCCGGATCAGCCCGACACGTAAGCGAAGCGAAGAAAAACAAAAAAAAAAACGACAAAAGCGAAAATACAAGAAACTGAGTGTGTCTTTGGTCACTAATTAAAAGTAACGAAAATGAAATTTTACATATCGGAAGTAAATGTTTATTTCTATAGCATCTAACTTTAGCGTTCTAACCCTAAATTTTTATTTTCACGAACTTAGTTTATTTTTACGTTGAATTTCCTTTTTTGGGTTTGTATCACTCGCACAAATAAGTAAATCCCATAGGGCGTATCCGTGTTGATTAAACATACGTACGTTATCGAGTGCAATTTGGATTCCGTGATGATCATCTCCCAATTTGGTATGTATGTTGAATTTCTACGTATTTTACGAAATTAGGTTACGTATAATAATAAAAGTTTTAGCACAAATGTACTTAATATCAGATTTTATGTATGTCTATATCCAAAATTCTTAAATTTTAAAGACTAAACATGCGATCAACAAAATAGTATAATATTATTTTAAGTAAATACGGTTTAATTTTATCAAAAAGCATCAAAAACATGTGCATTTAAGTTAACCAAAAATATTTTTGCCCAAAGGTTTATGTATATCTATGTATAAGCATGCTAAACGTATTCAATTTTTAAATTTAAAATATTTTGTATGATCTTATTATAGATTCAATAAATTAGTGTAATATAATTTTAATACGGCCTAATTTATATTAAAAGTGTCCAAACTAGTGATACGGGCTGATGAAAAAATCGTGGGCCGGGGTCGATCCTAAAAAAGCTCGGGCCGGTCGACCTTTTTGCTAGTATAATTTTTTTTTGATCAAAATCAGTCAACATATCTATATTAAATGTGCAAAAGGTCATCAAGTAGTTTCTTGTCGAATTCTTGTGATACTAAATGATTTGATTTTTATTCTTTTTGTCCTTGAAAAATTTAGGCACGTTAGTATTTATGTTGATTGATTGTCTATGCCACCGAACAT